AGAGCATCTGGACCAGATGTTATTTTTGTGTTAAATATTGGCAGGCACTATCGGGCCACAGAAGACCTTGCAAGGATTGAACTGGTTATAGTATGTGCCCAATGTGGGAAAAGGCTATAATTGTTGTGGACCCAAGAAGGCAATGACTGTCCACAGTAGAAAAGGGGCACTTCTTGATGCCTACCAACAGTAAGGAGTCCACATGCCCATTGCATGCAGCCATTCCTTCCTGCCACATGTTTCTGCATGGACTCTTTCAAAGAGCTTGTACTTGGAGAAATGCACATCCTGTCCTACTGAAAGAAAAATGATGGCAACACAGACTTCTGCAGGCCACTGTCATAGCAAAGCAAGTTGATGGGACACTCCCAAGTGCTGAATCAAAGAATAGGAGTTCCAGTGGAGGCATCTCAAGATATCTTAATCCATACTAAGAGCAGTAGAGCTAATTTTGGTAAGTGATGCTACCATTAAAGCTAAGAGTGATGTAAATAAGCACTGCAACCACCAACAGCAGCCTGAATCCTAAATATACTATTGGATTGACCAGGATTATTGGGGCAATTGACATCTTTGTTTTAGCAGATTAGGGTAAAACCCCATGGGGACAACAGTATGAGAACCACTATGGAGGACTACTATATCAACACCCTACCTGACATTGCTGCATGGGGTGCAGTGCCAAAAAATAACGTAAGTTGTATTACAGTACATCCATCTAAAGACTTAAACTGCTTTTCCTAGTTATGGACTGTGCAATATAGCACTGGGCAGAGTTTGGAGCATCTGCTGTCTTCTCACCATTTAACCCGTTCCTGCCCAGCATGGTCTCTATTGTATCCAGGCTAGACATTTTGTTTTTTCTGCAGTATCTCATCCCACAAATGACAACTACCAGTCAAACAATCCATGCCTATACCCTGCTCCATAACTGATCTGCTTTCTCCTTGCTTTCTGCTCCAAGCCTGCCATGGATACCCTTTTTACTTGGTAAGGTCTCTTTGATGGAAAATCAAACCGCTTCGAAGGTTTCTCCGCAGTGTGAAATCACTCAACCATTAGCTACACTTACTGCCTAATTTTTGAGCTGTTTGATTTACCTGCACCTACAGTATTTTCCTGTTACTACTACAAAACAGGGTTAAAGAGGCAAAACACAATGTGTGTGTCATTGTTTTAACCCAAATACAGAACATTTAAAAACAAATTAGTCCACATTCTCCTCGGTACACTCAGTGTTTACAGAACTTTAGAGATTCCCCTAAATGATTCTGAGGCATTTCAAAATATATAGATACTTTTAAGGCATTATAATGCAGTTCGGTGTGTAAGTCACTGCAGAACCCTAAATTTTGCTTGGCACTTTTTGCCAACCTGTTCCAACAATGAAGGAAGCTTAAGGCAAAGATATTACCTGGCAAAACCAAATCATTAGCACTACCTAAAGAGACAGCATTCTCCTTACGTTTCTGACCAGGTTGGAGATGGAACCATCCTTGCACTGCTTGTCTTCCACATTTACTGAATGATCTCTGGAACAAGGCACTCCCACCTCCTGGGGATCCTCCAGATAACATCCTTCAGCGTAAGCAAAAGTGCAGAGCCCAACACCCCACACCCACCTTTAATGGGAGGTCTCCAAGCATGTGCCTTATAGCCCCCATTTCATACAAGAATGAAGAAGTTAGGCACACAGCTTCAGAAAAGTAGAGGGGTCTTATGGCATAGGAAGGTAAATTGGAAAATGCTTTCCCTTCTGAAAAAGGACACAGTAGAAAATGAAACATTTCAATATGAAGATTGTGAGAAGTAGGGAAGTATGTGAGTTTGCTTCTTCCAGTTCTTCCTAGTCCCTATAGTCACACAAAGGAGTTTGACAGCTTCTCTGAAAATATCTCTACAAGAAAAAAGAGTTAATGACACTCTAACATGAAATGTTTAATGTCTCACAACATAGGATCAGGAAAGCAGATGTGAAAAGAAGCTTTCCTGGAGTATTCCCAAGTGTTCAAAATGGAGCACATGGCCCTGGAAAGGAATACTGTGCAAACAGCCATAATAGAGACCCTTTAATTACAAATGTTAAGTGCTACAATAATGTCCTGCAGAATATAGAGAACATATCACCAGGGTATTCTAAGCACTTGAAGAAGAAAGTGATCAGGAATTCCCCAAGGGCAAGTCATGACTGACCAACCTGATTGCCTTCTATGATGAGATGACTGGCTCTGTGGATGCAGGGAAAGCAGTGGACATGATATACCTCGACTTTAGTAAGGCTTTTGATACAGTCTCCCACAGAAGTCTTGTAAGCAAATCAAGGAAGTATAGGTTCAGTGAATGGACTGTAAGATGGATAGAAATCTGGCTGGATTGTCAGGCTCAACAGGTAGTGATCAGTGGCTCACTTTCTAGTTGGCAGCTGGTATCAAGTGGAGTGCCACAGGGGTTGGTCGGGGGGCCAGTTTTGTTTAATATCTTCAATACCTATCTGGAAGATAGGATGGAGTGCACCCTCAGCAAGTTTGTGGATGAAACCAGGCTGAGGGGTATAGGAGGGTAGGGCTAGGATTCAGAGTGACCTAGACAAATTAGAGGATTGGACCAAAAGAAATCTCATGAGGTTCAGCAAGGGCAAGTACAAAGTCCTGCACTTAGGACAGACAGTCCTGTGCACTAGTACAGGCTGGGGACTGACTGGCTAAGCAGCAGCTCTGCAGAAAAGGACCAAGAGGCTGCAGTGGACAATAAGCTGAATATGAGCCAACAGTGTGCCCTTGTTGCCAAAAAGGCGATTAGCATACTGTGCTGCATTAGTAGGGGCATGGTTGCCAGCAGACTGAGGGAAGTAATTATTCCCCTCTATTCAGCACTGGTGAGGCTACGCCCTGAGTATTGTGTCCAGTTTTGGGCCTCCCATTACAGAAAGGATGTGGACAAGTTGGAGAGAGTCCAGCGGAGGGCAACAAAAATGGGTAGGGCTGGGGCACAGGGCTTATGAAGAGAGGCTGAGGGAATTGAGCTTATTTAGGAAAGTTAGGTTGGATATTAGGAAAGATTCTCTCATGAGGAGGGCAGTGAAGCACTGGAACAAGTTACTTAGAGAGGTGGTGGAATCCCTATCCTTGGTGGTTTTTATGGCCTGACTCAGCAAAGCCCTGGCTGGAATGATGTGGTTGGAGATGGTCTTGCTTTGAGAGCAGGGGGTTGGACTAGATGACCTCCTGAGGTCCCTTCCAACCTTAATTTTCTGTGATTCTGTTTCAGGTCACATTTCAGTGAATCTAATTTCAGAACCTTCCTACTGCATCCACCCCCACAAGAGATTGAAAACCTTTTATATGCATTACCGTCAGGAATTCTGTGATTCCTTCTTGTAATACTTCACTCCTGTTGGTCTTAAACTTGCACTGCTCTGCTTTCATTGAAGTAGTATCGTGCATACTTGACTATTTGGACTTTATTGCAAGAGGCCTTTTCCAGCTGTCCTAATTTTGAGTGTCTTTCTACTTCCTGCTCCCAGCCATCTTCCAGGATTTCTTTGTTGGACACAGAGGTGTTGTGCAGAATAAGCAGGCATCTATCATACAAGATGCAGAAAAATGAGAAACATCCAGGCTTCTCTGAATCCACTACAGCTCTCTTTAGCTTTCCACAGGCAGACTCCATAGACATTCTGCATTTACTCAGCGTGAAGTTAAGCTGCCACTTCTGCTTGTCCAGCCATCTAGCAAGCCAAAACCCTCCAGTCACAGCTTACCCTCTATAAACGAGCAGCTCTTCATTCCATTAACATTCACAATTTTCTGCGGTGCTGAAGTTCCCTTGCTCATTCTCAGAAGCAGTTATGAGAGGAAGCAGTCACCTTTCCAGACCACATTTGGTGTCCGCTGTAGTGATTTAGCAGGCCTTTCAGCATCATAGTAACATACTTCTTCCAGTCAGTAGGCTTTGACCTTATGTGGAGAGGGGACAAAGAACAGTTAAGTGAATTCTGTTTGTTCAAACCGGTGACCTCCTGTGCACTGGCAGGCTTTGGCATAGCACAGCAGAACTCCTAGGATTGCAAATCTCCATGACAGCACCCCTGCCAGTTGACCATCACCATTGGTATTAGCTAGTGATACATTGCATGGCAAACCTCCAGACGATGATAGTGATGATAGTAACATGCTTTGCTACACTAAGGACAGCTCCTGTTACTTTGCTACAGCTGCTCCTCTAAGGTTTCTAGGAAAGCTGCCTGTGTCATCCTAAAGTTCTGCCACCAAAGCTGTTACCCTGGCTTTGTCCCATTACCTTCTTGGGCCAGTCGGTGCTGTTCAGCTGAGCCTGTAAGCAGCATGCCACATAATAAAGGTGCTCCAGGCACATGCCTGTCAATGTAATTGCTCAGCTAAATCCATCTGTTCTTCCTCCTCTATTTACTTTATTGCAATGGCATCAACAGTCCTACATAACCACAGACTTAGGTCCATCAGCCTGCAAACTCAAAATGCAGGTGCCTTATCCTGTTCATATTAAGGCTTCCCATGATTACACCATTTCCCGTTAGCTCCTTCCTGCAGTCTGACATCAGTTTGAATATATCACCAACAAAATTAATGGAAGTCAAGAGGAATCATAGGACTCTGTAGGTCTAGAATTCTTGTGGCTTTAGCATATATCCCAGAAGGCATATGCAAAAAAAAATAAAAATAAGAGCATAGAGCATAAGCAATGTAGAACATTACACTGGTTTATGTACCATAGCTGAGCTGCTAATTCAGACTCGCACAGTTGCATGGATGCATCCCAGCTAGTTACAGATAAACAGCTGCATTCAGAGCAAAACAATTAAATTGCTGTAACTGCACCAGGTAGACAAGGCTTGTGGGTGCTTACGCAAGTTGATATGGGAAGGAAAATTTCTGAATGGATTTTTTTCCTCCCAATTCTTTTACTAGATTTTCCCTGCGTTGGATGTGGCCAAAGCTAAAAGGCAAGACTTTGAGCCCTCAATAGAGAAGGCAAGATACAACAGCTGTTTACAGAAGCAGAGTGCAGGGCAGCAGCAGTGTGAGATGGCGCTCTCTTGCAAATCTGACCAGGCGGAAGCTTCCTTGAACAGAATGGAACAGGACCATCCACACAGCGCCAGGTGGGACTGTTACCCCAAGAGGTCTGGTACTTCATTTATACTGTGCTAAAAATAAGCACTCATACCACATTCAGGTGTTCCTTGGTGCTGGACTGAAATATACACACATTGCTCCCTCCCGCCCTCCCCCATCAAGTCCCAGTACACACACACCCTGTACTTCTAAGATTTAAAAGAAATTCAATCCAGCCCTTTGTAAACCTCCTCTTCTGTCATTTAATGGCTACTAGGTGGATCTTTCCACAGAGTGTTCTGCATCTTGTCTCCTTAATGCAGGCAGTATTTCACTCTGTATAGTTCAGCCATGATTGTTATACCATATTTCCCTCCAGAGGACTCATTGTGTTTTCATAGGACACAATTGGTCTTAAGGGAGTCTCTAGAGCCCACTGTACTACCCATTTGTGGCAGAATCAAGGAGTTTTTGCAGTGCTTCAGTGGGTGGGAGCAGAATCATGAGGCTCCCGGACTCTTACTTGTACAAAAGCAAAGTACTTGGGTCTATTTTTGTCTGCACTTCCAGTGCCTGCAATGGTTTTAGCCCTGGAATTTGCAGGGCCTACCCTTTGATGTGGTCAGCAGGCAGCATTCAAACCAGCCTCTGCTCCTGGAGTGTGGGACATGGAGGAAGAATGGGGTTTGCGTTTATGACTCAGGGTCAGAGGATTTGGTTTCTACCCACAGACCTCCTGCAGGAACAAGTACAAGTTTTAGCCACCCCACTAACATTTTCCTATTTATGAAACAGTAATGTCACTGTCACAAAACCTTTGAGGTTAGCAAACAGGCAGCGCTTCTAAAGCATCCGAAGACCTCTGTGCAGAAGGCACCATAGCAAAACTAACTATTCTATTTTCCCTGCTTTCATTGATGTTTACATCCCTACTGTATATAATTTAAACCTGCTTAAGTCACATTGTTAATGGTGCATTTATTTTGTGGGAGGAGAAACACAGACTCTTTAGCCACCGAGTATGATGCCACTTACCAGCGGAAGTTGCGGCAGAAGCAGCTACAGCAGCAGTTCCGGGAACAGATGGAGAAAAAACTTCAGATCCCAATAGCTGCTCCAGTCTGCAAACATGGTATGATGCACAGACTCGGCAGCTCCAGCACCATCCACTTAGGGGAGGTAGTTGTGCAGGACCCTTTCTTGGCTTCCTAACTCTGCCACTATTTCACTGACTGAAGAGAGCTAGAGGAGAGAGACCAAAGGAAGAAGAGACGAGATATTAGTTGCCTATTGAGCAAGCATAGCTTCTCTTTCTGAAGTGGCAGAGAGGTGGGCCCACACCCAACATGGCCAAACCGCAATGCTCTGATCAGCCTAGAACATTCTATAATGCAGCCATTGGCTGTCACTACCATTAACACAGGCACATCCCTAGCTGTTGGCAAAAGTTGCCACTGTGTCCTGATAGTACGAATACCCAAATTTTCCCTGTCAGGCAGCATGGCTGAAGGTAGCATACCTCAATTCCTGGTGCAGGAAACCTCAGGGTAGTCCATTTGTCCTTATCCTACCTCTCCTTCCCCCCTGCTTCCCATTTCTAACAAGAGGCTGGGATTGGTAGTCAGATGGCTAGTCCTTCCTGCTTGTCTTGAACAGATTCACTTTCTTCTCCTAAAACAGGGAGGGAGTGGGAGGTGGAGGTACCCATCTGCATTTCCTTGCATGAATCTCTCCCCTTTGTTACCTATGCTACTCAGTGCCACCACCTCCTCCTGTGAAGCACAGCACTCCAGTCACAGCACAACAGCAACCGACTGCAGAAGACGAGTTCTTTGCAGGTCAGCAAAACATGGCAGTTGAGCTGTGGCAAACGGCATCAACTCTGGTGGGCAGGCAAGCCATATCAGGGTGTTGGGAGAAGAGGGCAAGGACACAGGCTTGGCTGTGGCAAGCTGCAGGATCTTATGCTCTTAATAGTCATAGTCTGGAGAAAAACCAAGATGGAGGGGTGTGGGAGTGAGTTGCCTCTACATTGACTGGGACCAGTACCACTCTGACCCTTCCTGCTCAGAGGACCTTACTCTTCAAGCAGTTATCCACACAGGTGCTACAAGTGGCAGGAATCATCAGCTTTCTGGCTGGCAACAGCCTTGGGAGCCACCCCCTCATTTTGGGTGTTCCAGTATTTCCCTCCCCACCCCCTACCAAGAGCTTGAGGAGCAATGCAGGCTTAAGCATCCCTTCTTACTGCCATGTTAGTCTCACACAGTGCAACAGATTTATTTTCAGATGTTGCTCACTTAATTTCCCATTGCTGTAAAAGCTGTCACTGTTTTGTTTTGGCCTCTCCATTTGCCAGTGTATGGGAATGGGTTGTGCTGGTGTTATAATTCTATCCCTGTGATGTCACAGCTTTCTTCCCTCATTGAGGCATATCTATTTGAATTGTTCCAGATGACCCTGAACTTTGGGACATTCCTCTAGAGGCCACCAATCTCAGTGATGCTGCTAGCCACAAAATGGCAGATATGCCAGCCCAGCCACAGGCTCCTGCAACCCCGCTTGGCCAGCATCACATGACTACTCGGAGCAGGACTCCTCAGAAGATGAGCTATCACAAACCATGTGCAAGGCCTACACCCTGGCAAGTGTCTGTCGAGCAGAGGACTTTTAGCCATTGTGCCAACCAGCATGCAGCAGGTAGGTGGAGCTGTGTAATATCTGCAGAGGTCAATGATGCAACTCTTTTGATTAGAGGAGTGTAGTTCTTGGAGGGTGACCAGAAAAGCATCCTGTTCACAGACAAGGCTTCTAAGCAGCTTGTGTCTCGGACATACCTATTGTTGTGCTCACCAAGGTTGCTTTAAGGTTTCACAACCAATGCGAGAACTTCCTCTTATACATTTGCCAAAGAAGGAACCTAGCTATCCTGCCATTCCCTCTCCTGCTTAACCTGAAATAGGTCAGTTTTAGCAGTGGAGAAAAGCACAAAAACTATTGGTCCAATTCTAACCAGCTGTCTTCCTGTTTAGCAGACTGCAGCCCCTACAGAAGAAGCCAAGGTATGAAGAAAAGGAAACTGGAACCCACCTAAGGAATGACAGCAGCTCCTGACTTCTTGCCTCTGGATCTGTCATTTTTTCAAACAATCTGTTCAGTGGCATGAGGAAGGTAATCAAGCAGACCAGGCCCTTCCTTCGGTGATGCATAAGCTTAACTATGAATGCAGGACAGGAAGTTGGCCCACAGTCGTGGGCTTGACACCCCCTTTTGTGCGGTCAAAAATGTTTCAAATGCGTTTCACCCCGACTCCAGATTCAGAGGCTGTGGAAGGGCTCTTCAAGTCATGGCTTGTATCAGGTCATAAACACTGTAATTTTAAATTCTTTTGTGCTGTTCTAAGAAACTGGTTCCTAGGATGAAATGCATGAAGGGTGAGGGGGTCATTCCTCTGCAGTTTCATGTTGTAGAGGAAGCATTTCCCTTTTGAAGGCAAACAGTGTTTAGTAAAGTCAAACTGGGGAAGGAATCATTTGACGCCATCCTGTATTAAAATTCTGCTTGGCCGGGTCCATTACACGAGGAGTGGGGTTGACCTGTTCTGTTCCTTTACTAATTTGTTTTTATATTAACTTTTATCCCCTTTTTATTATGGCAAACATGAATAAATGGTGTAGCTGTTCAAGTGGGTCAACAACACAGCTCTCTTGAATACATGACAGGTCCTCTAGACAGAGGAAGATTTCTACTACATTGACTTCTTGTGGTTTAATGCTACTCAGCCTGACAACCCAACTCCCTCTTCCTGAAGCCCAAGGCAGATTAGCACTATATACCTAGTAACAAGTCTGAAATTAAACAGAAGCCCAAACCACAAGTGTTTTGTTGTCTACTCCCACGTTGTAGCTTAAGGGAGGAGAGTGATGCATCACACCATTGCCTGCAACACTAGGGGAGATACAAGAGGTTTATACACTTTTAGTTAAACACGTGGGATGATGCATAATCAGGAGAAATGGGGCAAGCATTAGAAGCAAAGAATAGGAGTTACTGAGCATATCTGTAGTGTGTGCGCATGCTTGGAGGTGGGGGAATCGGTTTTTTCGTTACTGGAGAAACATGAGATTGTTATTAATTAACAGTTCATTAATACACTGTAATTACAGTGCATTGTTTAGTACCTGTAATAACAGGTACTAACTTAATGTACCGTAATTAGCACTACTGAATATTAGCACAGATGAACATTGTGTGATGCTTAATGCACACTAGACTAAATCTGTGCATTAGCACGGTTTCTGCCAGCTGCACTAACTTGTAGTAGAATTAGTCCAGTACACATTACCGTTTCCAGCAGCAAAATGTAGAACTGAAAATACCCAAGTGGCCTCAATACCCCATTGGCTGTATGAAGCTGCCTCCTTGCCAGCACATCTGCCTATAAAATTGCCAGTAGCCTTTATTGCCTTACTCATAAAACTGAGGATAGCTGAAGGTGACCACTCCTGTTTAAGGTGTCAGTGTATAGCCTGCCTTTATCACTTCCCAGCCCATCCCTGGGAAGAGAATGCTTATGACACTGGTTAAGAAAAATCTCATTACTTACTATAGTCAGTGCTCATGCATCCCACATTAAGCCAAGGCAAAGGCTATTAAGGAAGAGCATGTTTGGATCACACAAAGAAAATGGAGGATTGAGCCACAAGGTTAACTTCTGGAAAAAAAGATGTAGTCATAGGAACCCAAGTGCATGCAGAACCACTGGTTCAAGACTGGAGAGATGCCCCACCTTGGTGCATCATAAAGCTCTCCAAAGCTTGCATCTTCTTTGGAGGGTTTTTAAGAACCCTAAGTAAGGAGGGAGTCCTACAGGATCCCAGCCTGCAGCAGCATGAACAACAAAAGCTTTCCTAAAGAAAGGAGATTTAGCAAATTGTTACTATTTAAAAACCCTGCACCTCACTCGCCATCCTCCAGAAGACACTAGGGGCCCATATGACCTAGTGCTACCAAGAGTTGCTGAAATGGCAATTTACCACACACTGCCTCAAGGACGTGCAAATCCCACTGAGGCAGAGAATGGCTTGAGCAGGCATGGAGATTCTTTGCAATTCCCAAGATGCCTCTTACCCCATTCCTAGTAAAGACATTACTCCTCTCAGACAGCTCTTTGCTAGTTCCAACTACAGCTGCATGAAGGACCCTGACCAGCCAAGCAAGCTTGACCCTCTATGTTTATTGACAATAGCAAGAAGTCTTTGTGATGGAGTTCATCTGGGCTCTGCTTCACCAGGTTTTCCACTCCATGGTGTTGTAGGCACGCATCCCTCTAGCTTAGTTTCCAAGCAAGGGGGCTGGGATGCAGAAAGAAAAGCAGAACTAACCGAAGACTGACCTTCACCAACCCCTTTTCATCAGGGACAGATTCCTCTCTGACAGAGTTGCTAAGAGGCAGCACAAAGTCTCCAAAAATTAGCCAGGACCCAGAGGTTACAGTAGACAGGGGAGTTTGCCAACCCCCTGAGGTTAATGCCAACTATTTAGACTTTGTCCAACCATCTGTCTCCGGAGCAGGAAAACTTCATACTGAAGCCAACCTACACCATACCAGAAATGTGTTGTTGCCTGAATTACCTGTTAGCCAAGACCCTTTGACTTTCTGCATCAGGAAGTCTATTGACCCAGCATCTGTGAACGGTCTTTTACTGTTGCTTATTTTTCAGAGTAGTTTGTTGAAAGGTCAAACTGTTATTTCTGACCACTGCTTTTGACAAGTTTGGTGTCTCATTAAAGTAGGTACTTTCCTGAGGAAACTAGCTAGGAGCTGGGTAACAAAAACCCACCTGCAGATAATTATCCAGAGAAAGGAGACAGAAGAGGTAGGAACCAGCTGAAAATGAAAACCCACAGTTCAACAAAAGCAGGTTTGTTTTATTTGAATGATTTCATTAAATATTCTACAAAGGTAACAAATTGCAGCACAAAGCGCAATCATACAAGAAGCGCAATGCCTGGATTTAGTGCAAAACATACAACTAACTACGGCCAGGGAAGCCCAGAGTTTGAATTCAGTTTATTTTTCTTTTTTTGCCTTTTTACAGTGTACATTGTTAAATAATGTAAAGAAAACATTTGTAAATTCAGAAACAGATTTTATGTGGAAAAAAGATACTCAAAGTGTAATATTAAACACAAAATAATTTAACAGTTCAGTAGCATTAGTTTATTCCTCTAGACTTCAGTTATTTCATCCACAGGAGGGAAATCAATGGTAAATAAAACCAGCTCTTGCATAACGTTAAGAGAAAAAACCGACCTCAAACTTATTAAATCAATTAAATAACCATGTGCTGCTTTCAGTTGATCAGTTCTTCTGCCATGAAGTGTTGCCCTTCTCCCACTACTGCTTCAGGCCTGTGACTGCTCTGTTATACAGGACACTTTTCCTCTCCCATATTTGGTGTATCCAAGAACCTTTTCTCCTCACCCATTTAAAGTAGAAAGCAGAGGCTTTCTGATTAACTTTACCAGCAGGGTCCCCTTTTCTCCTTCTCTTCCCATCACACATACAACTGTGAGCCCTCTTTCTCCTCCTGTAGTTTTATGGAGCCTACATGTTAGTTAAAAGGAATTAAAGGAGGAAGAAGCCACTCACAAACATCTGAGAAACTGTTGGAACCCAGTCATCTGGCCACTATCTTTCATCCGCCAGGACTTCTTCAGTTTGCCTACACCCTTGCTGACAAACAAAGATGTTGTAAACATCAAAACCAGATGAAGGGAAACAGACAGATCTTGTGCCTTTGGGGGCTTTATAGGTAAAATGTGAAACATCCACAGAAAGAAAGTAGAAACCCCAAATTAATTCTCCCCCCAGGGAAACATTACTCACAGAAGAAAATTCAGACAAGTAAAAAGACTTATTTGATGCACACGCTTCCAGGATGCCACTGAACTACTCTCAAGTACCAGGAAGCAGTACTTTGACCTTCACAGCTTGTTGCAGCACTACACCAAGTAATACTGGTTGGTTGCAGTATTATTACTTTGAACAGGGAACCAGTATTTGTAAGTATGAAGAAGGGAAGAGAATGAACTAAGCAGAAGGTACAGTACAGTTATACTCAGGTGGCACAGTTAGTTACGGTCCTGGTACCAGCTTGAAATTTTTTTAGAGTGAACAAAATTAAGTCCTCTGCATGCATAACACAGAGGGAATTCCTTGATGCCGGCTGTTTCAAGTGCATCCATTGCCGGCAATGGACGTCGCACCAGGAAAGCGTACTCCTGGCACGAATGGATTAGAAAAAAAAGGTAAGAAAAGCAGTCCCAGCAGACAACCCACTCCACAAAAACCAATGGCTCCACCCTCATGCACACATGCTTACCACACCTTGTCACCCCTTCCTAACTTGAGTCAAACCACATCTGAAGTTGAACCTCTCCTATATGTACACACATTCTCCCCACCCTCTAGTTTGATCCAGCCCTATTAAGTCTCAAGGCAGCGTTTGTTAGTTTTGTCCGTGGCCTATGTCCCTCCCCCAGCCTGCCCCCAGTCACATCAGCATTGACTCATCAATTCTGAAATGTGTTCATCTGGGCAGCTTTCCCCAGCACCAGAACTCTTTCAACCTACAGCCTCAACTGCTTCCTCTCTGACACCTACCCTAGACTGTTACATTATGACTATAACACATCCAACTTGTTGACCCTTTGGTATCCTGGTCACTAGGTACAAACAATCCATTCTTCTCTTAGCTTGCCCTCTCTCACCTGGGGTCTGCTGGGAAGGTGATGCTAACTGCAGAAGCAATAAAAGTCCAAGGCACTAAAATATCCAGCAAGCATACTGGGAGAACAGACAAGTATTCAAGTACATTAATTTATACAATTTTACATTCACATTTATTTATCTAATACAATGAAAATACAAAGGAAAAAGTTAAAGTGTCTCCAATAAGTATAAGGATATAGCTAGCTTTTTTTACATTTTTTTTACTTTTTAACTTTTTTTAACCCTCTATATTCCACTCATTTTAAGCTACTGTTGTCCAACAACATTTATATATCACAGTGTTTCCACATCAAAACTGATGGTAAGTACATGTCCGCTGGGAACTTTTTAAATTTTTTTAAACAATTTAAATTGCTCTAATGCTGCTGTTGAAGCTGTTAATATCTTTTACTTAAAGCAGTAATGACCTATCTCAAGCATGGGCTGCAATGCAAGTCCATTTGTGTCCCCCACCACTCAGGAGCCAAAGACGATTGTTTAGAGAGAGGAAGAGGAGGGGGATTTGGACAGCTCCTCTCCTGGTCTCGATTCTTCAGGGCAAGATGAGAAATGTGTTAAAGCCATGAACTAGGACTAAACTCTCCCACCAGCACATGTGGATTCAGACTCAAACCAAGAACTGAGTTTTACAGCGAGATTCCTTTGACTAAATGACATCCATCTTCATCGCTTGTCACACGAGCAGGAGCATCTAGTCAGAAGCACTGTCCCATCAAAGTTGCCCATTACCCTCCTCCCCCTTGAGATTTGTGGCTCTTTACAGAGAGCTGACAGCACTGGTTGGACAAGGGAAGCTCATTCCCACTGTGGCAGAAACAGCTAGTTCGTTGCAGCACTAGTAATTGATACAGGCCTCATTCCCTGTCCCAGGGTCTACCCAGCTTGGTCTCTGGGTGTGGCTAAGTGGTCCGCAAGTTGGAGCCTGGGGGGTTACTGATAGATTTCTGCAAACTGCCGATGTTGAAGCTTTGCAAAGAGGCAGCAGCTACAGGCTGGAACTGGCCGAGGGACTGCTGTGCTGGACCACCTGTCCCACTCCATGGAGCTGCAAAGGATGCTGCCGGGTAATTGTACTGCTGTGGTGGGCACACAGCCTTTGTGAAGTGACCTAAAGAGGTAGCTGATGCTGCAGAGATGGGTGTAGCACCCAGGGAGGATGTCATAGATATACAGAGTTGGCCAGGTGCCGAGAACTTTCTTGCCATTCCAGGACCCTGAAAGAAAATCCAGTTCCAAGTTACTATAATGTAGCAGAAACAGCAACCACCCCACACCCCTGCTCTCTTTCATGCAGGAAGATAACCACCTAAAACTCTCCTTTCTTTAGTACCCGACAGAAGAGGCAGCAGCAGAACCCTCCACATTTAAGCAAATGCCAGTATTTTCCCAGAGCAGTGTTTCTCCACCCGTGGGTCACAAGAACATTGTAAAGGGTCACAGGGAGCTCCCATGGAATCGTGCGGTTTCCCCTTGCAGGCTGCAACACTGGCAGCTTGCATGGAACTGGCACGCAGCCGGAGGCATGTTGATTGTGAGAGCAGCCCCAGGAACTGGAGAGGGAGGGGGCCAGATGCAGCAGCCAGAGGGGGGAGACCCTGGGAGAGAGACCGTGTGGGTCAGGACTAGGGAGTTGTGGGTCCCCAGTGGTACCAAGCTGATAATTATGCTAGTGGGTCCCGGTGTGAAAAAGGTTGCGAATCACTGTACTAGAGCATCATTTTGGTCTGGCTCTATTAGTTACATATATTAAACACACTGAGTGAGCATTAGTGCTAGCACCAACAGGTCTCTCCAAATGTTCAAGGGTGTAATAGAGGGCCATGAGCGGGCAGGGGGAGAAGAGACTCTCACCTCATAGTTGCTGTGTCCTTTGCCAGCTCTCTTGCCAGACAGGTTCATGGCATCACGGGCCCAATTGTCTACCAACTTGTGCAGGTCATCTGTGAAGGTCCCTTTTCGGCTGGAGGAGATAGCAGGCGGCTGAGACTGGGGTGCCTGGCTGTTCACTGTAGCCCCAACTGTGTTAGTGCTGCTGGTCCCTGGAATTAAAAGGAACAACAGTGGCTTTTACACTGAGATTTCTGTTTTCCCAGGGAATTTAAGCATTATGGCAATGGTGGAAAAATACAAAGACGCAAGTTAAAAAGCCATGCACATGAATTCTAGATTTCATTTCCAGTATACACTGGAGTGGGATTTCCAAGGGTTCACTTTGCCATTTGCCTCAATTAAGTGTTTTTGTAGATGAGTTTTCCAAGGAGTTCTGCAAGCAGTTGTAGTTGTCTAGGAGAGGAATGGCTCCTGCCTACATATTTCTTTTTGGAAGCAAGATTAGTGGAATTTGGTTTCACTATTAAGTGACAGGACATGCGATGAATGGCAGCAAAAGTCCTCTCACTGCACATCACAACTGTAGTAGTAGCCACTGTTACACCACGCTTCAAATCCAACTCAAAGCACAAGGGAAGAAGCAGTAGAGAAACAGGCCACACTGCTCTACAATGCAGCCATCTCCATCCTGTGAATGGAGAAAAGGCTGCTCCCTCACAGATTATAAGTAAGCACATGTACATGAGCAACAGTAACTGCCAGGGCTGTGACACCCAACTGCTACCAGCCTCGTGTTCCCATGGGGTTATGTGCAAGGGTCTGTCTCCACCTAGCAGGTAGCGTACACTTCATAGGAAGCTTGCTTTTTCATATGGAGAACTGGAAGGTTGCTGTGTTGTTATGATTCAAGGCGTTTTCACATGTACACAGCAAAGGTAGCTTGAAGGGGAAGGAGAGCAGCTCCTAAAATGGACATGGGGATGCCACTCCCCATCTAGAACTGACTGCACTACAATATTAGGAGCCAGTGGACAGGCTGCTTTCAGTTCTGCCAGAGAGTTTGCTGAAAGTTATTTGAAAAGACAACTCCTTGGAGACAGTGATAAGCAGCTCAGTCATGTGCAACCTCACACACCTTGGGCCTCATATTTGCAACTGCAGAACAAAAAGAGCTGCATTCAAGATTTAAACTTTTCTACAACAACCATGATTGCAGGGATCTGAGCACTTCACACAAGATTCACAACAGCACTGGAGGGATCCTCAATTTACCAAGGGGGCAAGTAGTCTTGGTGAGGATATCACTCTAGTCTTAGAGTGAAGATGTAGCCATGAAAGTCCAAGAATTGTGAGTGGCAAGGATTTGGGGGGGGGGGGGGGGGGGAAAAAGAGTGTCATATCTTTCACTGGACCAACTGCATGGCTGGAATAAAAAGTTAGACAAGCTTTTGAATGCAGGACCTGATGAAAAATGCTGTGCATTCAAAAGCTTGTCTAACTTTATTCCAGCCTTGCAGCTGGTCCAGTAAAAGATCGCAGCCCCCCCCAAATCCATTGTCCACTTCTCGTCAGAAGGAAAATCCAGAACAGACCCTACGTCTCTGAACCCTTGCTTGGCACCAGACTTTTCTTCATCTGGAAGTCCATGGAAGATGCTCACCATGGTGTGGAATCAAGCTTGTGTAGGCCACCTGACTCTTGAGTTGGGTTAAAAGGTCTCTTCAAGGATTTGAGGCTGGAACTGAAACAGCACCTGGGAAACTTGATGTGAGCAGGGCAAACATTTCCAGAGCACCAAAGACCCCAGCAGAGGAATCATCACCTCCCTACTGCACAACACCAGATACCAAGGAGTCACTAGTAGGGGTGTGCGAAGCTTCAGTTGCGGATTCAATTCGGAGGAGATTCAGCCCAATATGGCGGCCGAGTCTCTGAATCCAAATCAAATCAGGAGACCCTTTAATCTCTCTGAATCAAATCGGAAGCCTTCGATTCGATTTGGAGAGATTCAAAGATTCGACCATAGACACAACCTTTACATATGTTTTTTCTACATACCCTGAGGTACCAATTGTGGCTTGTGAACACTGAGATGGTGGGGTGGATGAAGTGTCCCATGGGAGCGCATGGGGGTCCCCTGTGCACTCAGCAGCGGACCTGGAAGTACTTCTGGTCCACTTCCAGGTCTGCTGCAAAGTGTGTGGGGGACCCCCTCCCCTGCCCGGTGACTGGTACCTCCTGGGTCTAGGGGGGCACCCGAGGTTCCCCACACAGCCAATCACGCGCCAGAGGGTCCCCCACACACTCGGCAGCAGACCCAGAAGTGGACCAGAACTACTTCCAGTCCACTACCAAGCACACAGGGGACCCCCCCCCTGCTCCCCTGGGATGCTCCGTCTGCCCCACCATCTCAGCATTCATAAGCTGCACCTGGTACCTCGAGGTACATGGAAAAAAACCCATATAAAGCTGTCTGTGGCCAAATTGCTGATTCTCTGAATCAGAATTGAGTTGGGACACTGATCTGAATCAGTGAATCAAATCACTGTTCCCTGAATAGGGCCAAATCCAAATCAAATACTGCCCACTTCACACACCCCTAAGTCAGCCAAGTGACTATGGCTTAGTCAACTGCAATGCTTCTGTGCCCAACCATCTCTGCAAAACCTTTCTGCCTAGGAAAGAGCAGCCTCTGCTTTTCTGTGAGAATGGATCTCTCATCAAGGGATACCAAGAAAGTAAAAGAACATTTCCTGTAGGCACTGAGCAAGGTGCTATTGGAGCAGACAGTGCTGGAAGGAGAGGCATGCTGCCCTTCACCAGCACTGCCTAACTGTGTGGATACAAGGAGCCTCATGCCACAGTGGTGATGAAGGGGCTCCCTGACCAGTATGCAGGGGGAGTTCAGAACACAGTGTAACAGGATAACATCAGACAGGGCAGTAAGGAACATCATATATAGGGTGATGGAGCAGTGAGGATATCAAGCACGTGTGACATTAACAAGGGGCCTGAAACACAATTATTGAACAAAGTAGCAGCACAAAAGTGAAAGGGTGAGGTTAGTACATACACAGGCAAACAAAACAGAACTCTACTCAAAAGAAGGTGCCAAAACAAACGAGTCACATTCCAGTCACGGGTTCATGCAAGGACTAGCACCTCTCAACCGCTTCCTGATGGCCAATAATCTGCTTCTTGCTGCTGGGAACATTTCTATACAGCATACATTTTGTTTTGGTCATGCATTACACAGCACACACTCTGAGGGCTTTGGTCTAGGCCAAAGAGTGCACCCAAACCAGCGTAGGAAGAGGCAAAAACAGTTAGTCAAGAGACATCAAGGTGTACTCAGCTAGAGATATGCAGTGGGATATGAACATCCCGGTTCTCTTGCTTATAGGGTAAATTTTGCTTGGGAGCTCTCGTCTCAGGCTCACCAGAGGGACAGAGACAGATTGGTTCATGTTGTTAGATGTCAAACCTAACATTACAGAGCCCCCATTTTTAACAGTGTTCAAAATAAATAAGACCCCCTCATTCTCAGGAATTTTGGATTTTAGTTGGCTGTCCTGATGCAATCCCAACCTATAAAAAAGGCCATCAGAAGAGTCTGAAAGGGGGAGCACTTAAAACATGTAGCATTCAATGGAAATAACATCCCTCCAGTCCTGCTCAGTCACAGCAAAAGTCCCCATATCTGGTCTGATAAGGAGGATTGGAAACAAAAGTGAGGCTTTTCCCTTCAGCCTGTGACCCCAACCTAATTTCATCCTACCCTCCCAAGGCCAACCCTGAGCACCTGTTCTCAAAAGATTTAGAGCATCCCTAGATAAGACCAGTAATCAAATTAGATACATCTAAACATGTCCTGCTTTAGTGGCATGTCATTTAATGGCTTTCTAGATCTTAAACAGTAAGGAGGAGTCTCTCTCTAGTTGTCAGGTGACAGGAGGCAAACCCCAAGCAGAGTCACTATGAGCAAGCTGCACAAGAAGTAAGCTCACCATGTTATTATGTGCAACTGGCTCTACTGGTGAAACACTGAATTATGCAATCAGCTCCGTAACTAAGGTGAGGTCTAGCAAGCATAGAGCAGCAGCTTAATTCCCCACCCATCCATCTGTAAATATGCCTGGGAAGCTGGACCCTATTAACATGTTAAACAAAATGAACACACATTAGAGAGCATGACAGAGACAGGTGCTGTGCTGGAGACAGAATCAGAGAGATTAGGCTCTAATGACAGAGGAAGACTCATGAACAGCTTTGCAGTCAAGGATCAGAAGTAACAGATAAGATAATTACTACAGAGCTGGTTGCAAGGACAGACTTTTTTCACCATCTTCCCTGAAGCACAAAGAGAGAGTAATTTGTTAAATAAGAGAAACAGTGAGAAATGTTAGTATCAGCAAACCATACAAAAAGCCCAGTGAGAAAGAGAGGAGAGGGCACAGTAGGGCAGTGCTGCAGGTATGCTTTCGAGGGCCACTAGTGGCATGTTTTTGCATCCTGGGCTAGATATTTGTATAACTTTCTGGCAGCATTTCTCTGGTAGTGCTCTCAACAAGGAGAGACTGCATGCCAGTTCAATAGTTCCCTGGACTCTAGTGCAGAACATTAGGAAGTGTAAGCACATAGGGCAGATATAGGTAGACAGACATGGGAGACTACAAGTGGGAAGAGAGTCTCTTATGGGTAACATTTGCCCAAAACTGAGATACTCCAAGCATTTGGCTGCTGGATTGTTTGCTCTTACTATAACCACTCCTCCCTTCCCCATTTTCTGAAATATGTCAACAGAAAAAGCTAGCCATTTCCCTGCTGGGCCTGTTCCTCTCTCTCTCTCTCAAGTTTAAAGCATCATTATTGATCACTACACTGTTTCCTCAACACTACTGATTCTATACTAAGCATCTTTCCCCAACTGCCCAGAATGGCCTGTGATAACATTTTAGGTACAAGATTCCAGGAAGCGAGCAACCTGTAAAAATTAAGCATCAAGCCAAGCCAAGCCAAGCCAAGCCAAGCCATGCTTTCAAAAGCAATACCCATTTTTACAGGACAGCTACAACAAACTTTTCAGAAGGAACCTTAGCCCACCCTTCCCCATTTGGCAATCCCAAGTTTAAGGGGCAGGGGCACAGAAAGAAAAAAAACAAAACAAAACAAAGCCTCCCCCAGACATGATACAGTTGGCCTCAGAAAGTGGGCCTGAGGTTGTGACAAGTTCAGCGTGTTTTACTATATAAGCAAGCACCTTGACCGTAAGTACATCCGGCTCAGAAATGCCATCCTGTCAATCTCCAGAGAATGATCGAGTCCCACCCCAGCTGTTCTTTATATTCCCCTTCCCAAGAAAGGGCCAGGCCAAGCCTACTTTTATAAATCTTAACGTTTCTCCACTAAAAGAAGTTATAAAGCTTGGAAACCCAAGTGGCCAGTCAGTGTATAGCCCTTCTACCTGCCCAACACTGTTGAACTGCATGTTTTGAAATTCTGGAGAAGGGAAAGAAAAGTGATCTGGTCAGTTGCGTCTTAAGACATATTTTGTCCCAACATTGGAAATCCAGCTAAGGGTGATTGTCTGAAGAGACAAAGCAACAAAAGAATCTTCTCTCCCTCCTCCCAAACAAAGGGGAATGTTTTAGCTCGTTCCATTGCAGCTGTCTCTGTAGAAAGCTAGTTCTGTAAATTGCCGATTTCTTTACTGGAGTTCATCCATACACAGATCCCCTGGCACAGCCAAGTTGCTACTTTGCTGAAGACAGACAGATGATACAAATCTGAGGAACTGGTGTGAAATGTGGCAAAAGGTGGTCAACTTCACTGGGCTTCCAGCTCTCAGATGCAGTCATTCCAGGGGCAGGGGGCAGAAGAGGGAATATCACAGCACTCACAAGTCCAGCCTATAGAGGAAGCATGGAAGATCTGGTAGCACCCCCAAGAAGCAGCACAATATGTTTGCAGCCTCAGCCCATGCATTTCTATACTCCAGATAACCACATCAGAAGTTTGAGGCTTAGCTGGAAAAGCCGTAAGTAAGGGTGTGGAGAATTCTGGGGGGTTGGAAAGGCATTGGGAGACCCTTATTTCCCTTCCTCACTTCACAAATAATATGTTTAGTTAGTTTCCAACCCCCAGCAAGAGTAGCCTTTTCTGAATATAGGCATCATATCCTTGACTACTAATATGGGGAGCGTCTGAAAGATCCTTTGCAAACATGTTTAATTCCCTTAAATACTTCCTTTTTTTTTTTTTTAAGCAACTAGCTAACTCCATGAACTTGAAGAAGGCAGTGATCATTGCTGAGCTTTTGGTGCAACCCCAAAATATTGTTTATGAGATGCTGAGCTTCACCCAACCTACTGAGGAGATGCACTGCAGAAGCAGTCATTTTATTTAGCATTTAAATATTAGTAACAAAACTGTCTTAATACAAGGGAGCACACCCTGGACATCCCTGCTGCTGCCGCCATCTGGTCAAGGCAGCCCTCACTGCCACTCAAGAGAACCAGATTTTTCTCAATGTGCGTGTCCACAAGCATGTGTTGTAGCAAGATCATAAACTGGGTCATATGAAAGCACCAGGAATCCATATGCCCTTGTGATCCCTCCTGATTTTCTGCAGATTCCTTACAGAATACTAGTCACAACAGGGAAGTCTCCCTCAAACTTTATGGAAGTTAAGTGCTTGTTATAGGGCAGTTACAAATAGGAGGGCTTAATCCAAGAATCCAAACTTCTAAGGTGTACAAAGAGCAGTTGAGCCAAGCCATGGGATGGGAGGGAATACAGAGAAGCAGATGAGAACAGGCTGCAGGAGACAAACCCAAGCAGCAGGAAATAAAAAAGAAAGAAGAGACAAGGAAGGAGTAAAGGTGTTACACACAAAGAGCCAAGCAGGGCGTACTCAGAAATCGGGTCCTCCTGCCACCAGGCTTGAACGTCACCCTCTCAGATGCACAGTTAAACTTCGCACAGCCTGTGATAAAACAAGAAAGGGAAGAACAGAAAAAGGAGAGGAGGAGGGACAGACAACTACAAGATGTTAGCAACTTGAGGTTGGAGGGGTGAAATGCATTAACATGGCACACGAGAACAAACCTCAGGAGGCAGTGAGTGATATATAAACACAATACAAAGGTTTCCTTCAATCCTTCCAGCCTTTACACCACCATTTTTAACAGCAAAGAACTGGTAAGTCTCCCATGTCTAATTCAACATACCTGTCAAAGGCACTTGGTGACATGTGACATTGTGCAACTTAACAACAATTAGTAGCCCCAATATTCCTGAAGAGATTAACATGGGAGAATTCCTATGAGAAATTCCTCTTTCACTTGTTCATCCTTTTTCTCATCATCAATGCCTACATTTTACCCCATGCAATTCTGTGCCAACCAGACACCACCCACTTGAGACCACTGCACTGAACTAGCTTTTCAGGGGGAATGTTTGAAAATGGCTTATATGATTTCCCACTTTGGAGGCTACAAGCATTAGAGCTATTACTCCTCCCAGTTTGTGCTCGTAAATTATACCCCCATCACTAGAACAGTTCTATAAAAATCAACTTAACTGCATAAAGCAGCCCGTTTTTCAACATGGTATTTCAGGGGCTCAGGTGGCAGGAGCTACCAAAGCAGGGACTTTTGCACTGGCAGCAAAATTTTATCTAGTTTCATCTAGACTTCCCTGACTGTTTGGTCTAACCTCTCCCCCAGTTTCCATCTCTGGTTCAAGTTACACCTCTCCTCTTATCCTCTTCTTCCCAGTTTCCCCACCCCCACCAATCTTTTAAACTAACTAAATCCTTCCCTCCCACCCCAAAATCATGAAACTATCTAGATGCTGAATTACCACATCATGCACTCTGCTTGTGTTGGACCCTCTCTCTCACCTTGTCTAGTCTGTTGAAAGCTTTTTGGCTGAGAGAGTCTAACTATGTATTACACAAGGTCTAGCACAATAGGATCCATTCTCAGTGGGCTTCAACACCACTGTAACGAGCATGCCCAACAGTACTCTCTGGTTCTACACTCCCCTCAGCAACTGCCTCTGAGCAGAGGGTTGTGCGATATACCCCTTGGTTACTTCACCTGCAGCTCTCCCTACCCGAAAACACAGAAATCCAACAGCAGCAAACATGTGGCCCAGAGGCACACATATGCACCTTGATTAGTTTCTAAGCACAAACGACACCCCTTATCTAGGACCTTTATTTTATCTTGGGTGTCCCCCAGCCTGAGAACTTCCTGAGCCATGAGGCTGCTGGAAAACTTGGCATTAAATTTCATCCAAAGTCTTACCTTGGCCTGGCGCAGAAAGGCTTGGTACTGATATGGCACCATCACTGGTAAAGGCAGAGTAGAGGTTCTCACTTGAAGGAGATGGTTTAAGGGGCTGTAACAGATTGTTCTGCCCAGTCTCTGGAGCACTACCAGGAGGATGAAGAGTCTGCTGTGGGGGCAAGACTGAAGGGGCACTCTGAGCTGACAAGTTACCTACAAGAAGAAATCATAAAAATCAGGACACAAGGGTACAATATAAAAGTTTGTGGTCTCCTCAGTGCAGCCCAGACTCTTTCCACTAGATAGGAGGATCACAATTGCAGCTAAGATTACTTGGGTGATTCAGACAGAAATATCTGTAGCAACTAAAGTAGGTACCACTGGAAGGGTATGCAGAAGGGAGAAGAGCTGGGAAAAATAAAAGACAGCAGGAAAACCAGAAGGGAAGGGCCTCTGGCAAGATTCTCATATTTAGGCTCTCATGCTGACTGAGGGATGAAGAGGCTAATGCAGCTGCTAAGAAAGAAACCAGAATATATTTGGACTATCAGATATTTAGGTAGGTCACATTTTCAATAGTTAGACTGAAGTTCCAGCAGGAAACATGATGACTACCCTCCACTAAATGCAAAAATCAGTTTGTTCAAAATGAACCGTCTCTAAAATTGATTTTCCAAGACAATTTAATGTACCCAATTTCTAACCCAAAAACCAAAGTGACCAGAGAAGCTACACATGGGCAAAGGCTGCAAATATATATCACCTCCCACCCCAAATGAGAAACATCACTCAATTGAGTCTATTATTCAAAAGGGAAATCTGATGAAGCCACCACCTCAACCAACTTCTTCATCAGCTTGAGCACTGAGAGAGTCCCATGACACACTGGAAAAGGATTTAAGACCAAATCAAAAGTTGCCATGAACAACTCATTGCATGTGATACCAGTTCAGAGCCTTGTAGGAAGCCTTACCTGACAGCTGGGGGCTCCTATTGCCCTGGGAGCTGCTGCGGCTGGATTTGCTACCTTTTCCTTTAGTAGGTCTCCTCCTTCGCCCTGAGAGAGGAGCAGCTGGGGGGATAATCACTGCAGGAGGAACCTTTCCCAGTTTTGTGTAAAGCAATTCAATCTCCTGCTTCTGGCGACTCTGCAGCTCCTGGATCTCTTTAAGGTGCCTGAGGAATTATGAACACATGCAAGTGCTTGCAGTTACACCTACCAATTTCTCTCCCTCCTAAGCTCCACCCTCCATGCCCCACCCCTCCCCCTGGGCAATCCATTAAGGTGAGGAACAGGACTGGAATTCTTGGCCACAATTAGCTATTGGATATTCATGTCAAAAGTTCTTGTTTTAATACTGCCTTAAGTGCCAATGTAACATTTGCCCTTCAGCACTGCAATTATACCAGCCAAGAATGAACTATAATGGTCTAGTGCTTCTACATAAATGCTGCAGGGCTGGAAAAAGCACTCTTGTAAAAGGGAAAGAGAGAGGAGACTAGGCTCCTGTATTTCCCAGTGGGCTTAATGCCATCCAATATATTTCCAGTTAGATATGAACAAGATCCAAAGCCACCACCTTTCCTGTAAGATTACATGCAAGTTCTCTGCAGACACTCATGCATGAATCCTCACACCCTAGATCCACGAGCAAAAGGTAAATCAGCAGCTCAACATTTCCTTGATCTGTTAAAGTGTTTTTCCCTATCCCTCTTTGTTTAGAGTAAGTTTTAGATGTCCCTAAAGGAAAAAAATCTAAAAGGGATGTACGTAGCTAAAGGTACAGCTCCAGGCAAAGCGAGCAAATCACATAACTCACCAAGTAAGCCACAGGGGTAAGGAAGAGGGCAATTAACTTAACTCCATAGCCTAGTGATGAGAGTATTCTCAGGGAAAAGGAAGGAAAGGACTCCTGGGTTCTGACTCATGCTTCCAAGGCCATATATGCATTTTATCTACCAACTGCATACTGCAAGATTCAAAGTAGCCAAGTTTCAAACAGAAGGGGTGAAGAGTGTACTTTATGCAACCTTGACAACAAAGGCTGTGGTTTAGACACTTTAAGGAAGTAAGAGGTGTGGGTATGAATACACTCAGGCCAAGGGGGGAATTAAACCTAGATCTAAAGACTAGATTCCAGCCACCGCCACCCCTTCAGCATCTCTTATCAGGATAAGAATTCACATGTCCAGCTATGCCCATCTGAAAGTACAGACACCTCGCTTGTTTTGTAAACTCCACTCTTGGAACCAGGCACCAGAAAGCTCAGTGCAATTCCCTTCTTGGTCCTGGGCTTAAGAGATTTAGGAACCATTTTCAAAAATGAAAAAGAACAGCCTCCATAATCCCAGAAAATTTCAGTAAACTGTAAGTCTGCATTTAAGGTATTATGTGAGACAGTTTACCTGGTACCATTTTTCCTTGTTTGTGCATAAACTATGAATTGTAGGTGTGTATTTAGAGGTTATTTTTTTAGCCCGTAGAACAACTTTAAACAAAACCCTACAGGAAAAAATGTGTTTTAATTGGGGTTTACCCTTAAGGGGAAAAGTGTCTTTTGTTGCCTCCTAAATGAAAGCAGCTCTGTCACTTGACTAGGAAGTTGTTGCACACACTTCAAACATACCCACAAACTTAATGACAAATCAAAAAGAAGCTTACTTTTCCCGTAACCGCCGCAGCTCTGATTTTAAGTCTTCATCTTCAATATCTGACTCATTGTCACTGCTCATGTAGGAAGAGTTGAATGAGTTGCTAAGGCTTTGGATGGGGAGGCTGATTTTGGAACCCCCTGGTTGCAGAGAGTCTGGACTGCCGGAGCCATCATCCAAGTCCTTAGCTGCTCCGCTCAGGAAGGCAGCCTCCAGCTCATACGATGGTCCATTTACATGCGGAGACTGCTCTGGTTCTATCAACTCTGGTACACCTTTCTTTGGAGTCAGGCCTGGAGAAGAAACTTGCTCCAAGTCCACAGAAAGAAGCTCTTTCTCCCCACAGGTGACCAAATCTTGGGTCTTAGAAACAGAAAAGCGACCCACTTGGTCTGTTGTTGTCGTCACCTGAAAGCGCCCAACTTTAGTTGGCTGCCCAACCTCTGATGGCAACTGTGTGGCAGGAACTGGCTGAGCAAGAACACTGTCTACCACATCCACAGAAGTGCCAATGACAGTCTCCATTGGCTGACTGGAAGTCTGCTTCACCAGAGTACTCTCTGGACTACTGCCAGACAAAGAAGAATCAGAGGAGGTTGTCTCAAAGTGCACAGGTTTAGTTTCTTGAGGTTTCAGCATGTCATCAGTTGCCACAGACACCTGGAAGTGACAGGAACGCTCAGTGAGCACAGCAGTCTCAAATCCTAAACAATGACAGGCTCTCGTTTCACCTTCCCCAGTCAGTAGTATGTCAAAGTGAGAAAGTAATTCATTTCCCTGCAGGAAT